CCCCAAAACCCCCCCCCTTTGCTCCCTGCCCCTCCACCACCCGAATGGCAGCAGCCTCCACCACCAGTGGGGTGAGTGTTTTTTTTGTTCATTATTGCTATTAACACAGTATAAATATTGAAAACCCCATTCATGACTGCATATTGGAATGCCTATTGACAGGTAAAGACGGTGAATCAGTGTTTACTCTTGAACACACAAAAAAATCGAACATTCTTCTATTGCTAATAATAACAATAGTAATAATAAAAATAATTTTAATAAAAATAAAATTAATAATAATAAAATAATACTAAATAATTGAAAAAGGGAAAATTTGTACAAAATACGAGGGTGTTACACTCGTCAGTGTGACTTTTTTTAAGCTGGCGTGAACTTTAGTCTACCTGCTCTTCCAAACTTTTACAAAAATTTTCAGCGGTTGAAGCAGTGGTGTTTAATAACATATATGTTATAAAAAATTTAATATACATGTTATTTTTAAATAACAGTATTATTATTAACATGTATGTATTTAAAACTTTTATTATTATCACACTGCCAAATTCCCACCAAGCAGGGTGGCCCGAAAAGAAAACTTTCACCATCTTCACCCATCACTTCTTGCCAGAAGGGTGCTCTACACTACAGTTTTTAAACTGCAACATTAACCCCCCTCCTTCAGAGTGCAGGCACTGTACTTCCCATCCCCAGGACTCAAGCCGGCCTCCAGTTTCCCTGAATCCTCATAAATGTTACCTTGCTAAACACTCCAACAGCACGTCAAGTATAAAAACCATTTGTCCCCCATTCACTCCTATCAAACACGTCACGCATGCCTGCTGGAAGTCCAACCCCCTTCGCACACAAAACCTCCTTTACCCCCTCCCTCCAACCCTTTTCCTAGGCCGCCCCCTACCCGCCTTCCTTCCACTACAGACTGATACACTCTTTAAGTCATTCTGTTTTGCTCCATTCTCTACATGTCCGAACCACCTCAACAACCCACAATAACATATATGTTATAAATAATAATAGTAATATTATTAATAAAATGTATTATTATAACATGTATGTTATTAAATACCATTGCCTCAATCACTGCCTCTACCACTCTAGTCACACTCAATCTACAAGCACCATACACAATGAATTATTGTGAAATGTTTGGAAGAGCAGGGAGACTAATGTTCACTCCAGCATAAACAAAGCCACACTGACGATGTGTCATCCACTCCCTCGTATTTTTGTACAATTTCCTTCTTCAATTATATCATATTTATTATTATTATTACTATTGTTATTATTAGCTGTAGCAGAAATGTTTAATTCTTTGCTGTGTTCAAGAGTAAACACATGATGTCACCGTCTAATACCTTTCCTAATAGCCATTCCAATATGCAGTCATGAATGGGTTTACATAATTTATTCTGTAGTTTAATAGCAAATAATGAACAAACAAAACACTCACCACACTGAGTGGTGGGAGGGCTGGCTGCCAGTTGCGGGGGTCGGAGGGAGGGTAGTAGGGATTCGCAGGTGGCGGGAAACTTAAATATGATTTGGCGGCTGGGAATTTGGTGGCTGGGAATTTGACGATTGGGAATTCGCGAATGTGGTGAAGCCTGTGAAAGTTAAAAAACGTGAATGTTGAGGGAGACCTGTACACATCGGCGACTTCACACAATTTGAGCCTTATTTTCTGACAGTTCCATTGTTCCAGTTGACCAGACTCATAGCTATTTTGCTAGAATTCTATTTGTTCTATTGACTGGAGTACAAGAAACTGCCCATTTGCCAATTTCAATTACCAAATAAAGTGGTCAGAAATTGGCAATTAACATTTTCTCCAGGCCCCTCTTATATTACTCTTGCTTTCCATTTTGAATTTTTACTCACACAAAAAATAGAGGAGTTACTGTTATGCAGACTACTGCACTATTGTAATAATTGTATAAATAATGTCAACCCATTCGTGACTGCATGTTAGACTGGCCAGGTGGACACGTATTGGAGGGTGATGTCGTTTGTTTACTGTTGGACATCGGCAAAAATCAAACATTTCTGCTACTTTGAGCTCAGTTTCAAGGTACTACTTTTCATCGTGAAACCAATCAAAATCAAAATGTAATGTATCTTCCATTCTATCAAATGAGACCAAGAAAATGAGATGCAACCATAAATACCATACAAAGATACACCTCAAAGTCGGCATTTTAAACCAAAAACAATGTCAGAGTTTTTTTTTTCTCATGCAATGCATGCTGCAGGATTTTTTTTTATACTGCACACACTAACCATGCAGACCCATTCTCTCACATGTAGGTCTACCAGCTTTCTCCTGCTAGATTTGAAGCTACTAGAATTATGGTGTAATATTACAGCATCAACACTGGCTTGCAAGCCGTAGTACTACAGCACCAACAGTGAAAGGGTTAATGTGATAATGAAAAATTAATTTGTTGAGAATACCCTTATTACAAGATCACTAACCCAAGGCTGGGTGCTAGGAATAGAAAAATCCTGAACACTCGACAAAGGTAAAGGCCCAGGCATACTTCCCTGTGGAACATTGGCATCGACACTAAGGTGGCATAGTGCAGAACCTGGGACTTCTTGTGTTTGCAGTTTTACCATGAATCCCTGGTACCATACATAGTCAAAAGCACCAGCTATGTCCATTGCTGCTACACAGCTGATCTTGAATTCATCCAGTGACTTGTGCCACATAGTGGAGAGGTTTAAGAGTAGTTCAGCAGTAGTTACCTTGTCTGAAGCCATAGGTAGTCAAAAATGCTGTCATCTGCCATAAGATGATCTGAAGAATCTTGCCAGTGATTGACAAGAGTGATACTGGTCTGTAGTTGCTGATTTCTGCTCTGCTCTTCTTTATGAAGAGGGATTATATTTGCCTCTTTCACAGAGAAGGCCATTTACACAGTGTTAGGTAGTACTGATAGATGCTAGGTGATGCCAGCTGGTCTGCACATCTACTCGATAATTTTGGGCTCACAGCATTTACTTAGTCCAGGGATTTGAGGCGATACACTTCATCCTGCCTTAGTCACCTCTGACAGCTTTGACACAACAGTTTCTTGCGGGTAGCAAAGAAGCTTCCTTTACTGGATCAGAAACTTTCATCTTTTTTGCAGCAGTGTTCAGCAAAGAGGTAAACTTTCTTCTGACTGCTAGTAGAGACAGTCCCAGCTGAAGATTTAGTGGTGGAATAATTTCATCATGGGTAATAATTTTGTCCATCCTTGCATCAAGGGAGGAGCCAGAGATGTGAGGAGGGAGGTCAACAAAGTTTTCATGTCAAACACTGTATAAGATGTAGGTTGACATCACCAACAATTATAATATGTTGATATTTATGTTGAAGGAGAAGGGATTCCACATTTTTCATCAGGAACTTGAAGGGGGTCTGCTTGCTGCCATTGAGGTCTGTACATTGTACATGCTAGTACAGAGGTACTAGTGTTTATGCATAGTCTGAAGAGCATTATTTCAAGGTGATTAGGAATGGTATCATTTTCTCTTCTCTCTCTTTTCTTTACACACACACACTATCTCTCTCTCTCTTTTTTTCTCTTTTTTTTTTTTCTCTCTCTCTCTCTCTTTGTCTTATCCTTAATATGAATACATGCAGCTATCCCTGGCCACTTTCATCAACTTAGTCGTCCACATTTCCATTTTCCCATGTGGGAGAAATCACCTATGATGAGTAGCTTTGTGGGCACTCATAGCTGCTTCAGCTACGATGTCCATTGCTTTCTTATTGTCTTTATATTCTTGCCTCGGTCTCCTGTTAGCAACTACTACTATGGATCCTTCAGTATCAGCTAAGCCCATTATGAAGTAAAGTGCTTGTTTATCCTTCTCACCTCTTCAAAACTCCACTGATTGCTGATTAGCGGTGTTGCTCCTCTGTTTCCCATTTTCTGTCTTTTCTTAACATTTGGTATCCAGGTGGTAGGAGAAATATCAGAGCTGAAAAATGTAGAGAGAGCATTTACTACTGGGAGGACCTCGAAGGATTTGGAATGTACTCTGGGGTGAAGATGGAGTACCTGATAATGTTATAAGTGGAAGATCTTAGAGGGCCTTGTTCTAAATAAATACACTACCACAAGAAGTTACTGGAGTGAGAGATGTAAGTGTAAAATAAAACCAGTGAAAAGCAGGGCTGTTATAGACAGAATAAGAGAATACTGGCTCAACATCCATAGCCCAAAACTCAATCTGCTGCCAGTAGTTTCCCCAAAATAGTGTCGAAACAAATGTGGAAGTCATCAGGAGGGAACTGAACCATTTCCTCTGCCAGGTGCATGCCACCAGGCTGTGCTGGCTATGTGGACCAGTGAGCAGCCAGTTGAACAGGCACTTAACAAGGATTCTTGAACAAATCTTGGGATGGTAGGATAGAAAATCCCTTGAAATTCAGTCACAAGCATATCAGGCAAATTTATCAGTTTTGATTGTACACTACTGTTCAACTATGCTTCCTCTTTTGACTATTTCTGCTGTCAGCATTTGCTTCATTTTTTTTTTTTTTTTTTTTTTTTTTTTTTAGGCATTGTGATATACCTGTGACCAGTTTTTGAGTTTTCTTACTCTTCACACTGTTTTGTTGATTCACTTATTCACCTAACATTTAGCAGAAAATAAAGATGCAGATGTAGTTTTCATGCAGGGATAGTTTATAAAACAAGGTCACTGGATATAATGGGAATTTCAGGCAGATGCATAGTCAGTTTTATGATGGAACATATAGTAATAAAAAAGAGCAAAATCTAGCTTTAACAGGACAATGCAGACAACTGCTGCAGGCTTGCTGGCCCACACTTGGGCCCAGAAACGGTTCTGACCACTTGACTGTTTCTCGTACTAATAGCAAACATAAATAAAAACTTGCTGCAGCTTCATATCCATTCTAGACAATGCAGTAATACAAAAATAAGCATAAGTCACCTTGTAAGAAGACACTAAAAAAATACAAGGAGATATCAACAGTCTTCCGGGCAGTAAACAATAACTCTGTGTTCAGTGTTGTTGTTTACTGCCATCTGATCAGATATGGAAAGAACTCAAAGGAGCACTTCTTACAAAACACAGAATTATCTCATAGAACTCTAAGGCATGCTCTGTGAAAGACCGAAAATTATAAGGGCATAATGATTAGTCCTTTCAACACGAGAGAAATAAAATCAGCGGTGACACCATTTAAATCACTGTTTGGTGTTGATTCCATTCCTGGCAGTTATATCAGAATTGGAAAAGATATTTTTTATTGTTCTTATAATAAAGCATAAAAATAACCAGAGACCACCCCCATCCCTCTCAGATAATATATACATGTAGTTGGTAGACAGCAACCACAAAGGGAAGTACTACCGTCCTGCCAGATGACTGTGAAACAGAAACCTGTAACTGTTTTACATGATGGTAGGATTGTTGGTGTCTCTTTCTGTTCATAAACATGCTAAATAACAGGGATATCTTGCTACCCTACTTACACTTTGGTCACACTTCACAGACACGCACATGCATATATATATACCCTACATCTAGGTTTTCCCCTTTTTCTAAATAGCTCTTGTTCTTCTTTATTTCTTCTATTGTCCATGGGAAAGTGGAAAAGAATCTTTCCTCCATAAGCCATGTGTGTCGTATGGGCGACTAAAATGCCGGGGGCATGGGCTAGTAACCCCTTCCCTGTAAACATTTACTAAAAAAAAAAAGAAGAAAAATTTTAAAAAACTGGGATCTTGAATGTGCGGGGATGAGTGCGGATGACAAAAACAGATGATTGCTGATGTTAAAAATGAAAATTTGGGGGGCGTCCGGGTCGAATGGCGTTTGGTCAGGGGCCCCTGAAACCCAACAAAGAAGAAGAAAAAAAGAAGTTGGATGTCCTGGCCCAAGGGAAAAAAACAAAAGCTAAGGGGGTGGGGGAGTTTCGGTGGGGGAAAAAAAAATGGGATTAAATCTGGAGTATCTAGAGAGTTAGAGCAAAGGAAGGGGTACAAAATGTTGAAGGATGTTAGGAAAGGGAAAAAAGAGAATGTGAAGTGTAAATTAAAAAGGATTGTGGTTTAAAGAAAAGGTTGGAGGAAAAGGGGGTCATAAAAAGCGTGTAGGGCCCGGGGGAAAGAGAGGAAAGTAGAGGAAGAGAGAGTTTGGGGAGATTTTAAGTGAATGTATGGGAAACCCTTTTAAACCCAAAGTGAGAGAGAAATTGTGGTAGGGGGCCTGGCTAAATGGGAGAAACTTTTAGAGGGGTGTGGTGGGAAGTTTGGGGGCCATGAAATGATAAGGGGACCCCTTTGTTTAAAACTTTGTAAGAAAGGGGTTTTAGTTATAGGTAATACATATTTTAAAAAAAAAAGAGGATAAAAATATACAAGATTGATGTAGGGCGAAATGACGTTTTTTGGATTAGATTATAGAAAAAAGCTGTTGAGTAGACTTCGGATGTACATGTTTTAAGAGGGGCCACAGATACTCAGATCACTTTTTAGTTGAAACTACACTGAGAGTAAAATTTTAATGGATAAAAGGAGAAAGAAGCATCGGGAAGGGAAAGAGGTAAAGGGATTATAAACAAGGGAGGGCAGTTAGGGTAAGATATAAACAGTATTGGAGGATAGATGGGCTAATGAAAAAGGCAAGGGGGTGAAGAGGTATTGGGGTGGGGTTTTTATGTTAGTGTTCGCAAAAGTTTGTGGTTACGGGGAAAGTGGTGCGGGGGGGGGAAGAGGAGCTTTGGTATGATGATTAAAGAGAGTAAAAGGGGAAAAAAAAAGTTAGCATATGAGAATTTTTACAATAAAGTGATGAAAGGGGGGAAAGAGATATGGAGAAAAGAGAGAGGTTAAGAGAGTGGTGAAGTAATGTAAAAGAAGCAAATGAAAGTGGGTGAGATGTTACAAAAAATTTTTTTTGAAAATAAGAAAAAGTTTGGAGGAGTTTAAAAATTGGGAAAGCCTAGAAACAAATGGTTTGTCATTAAAAATGGAAGGAGAGTTAGAGGTATTGGGGAAAGATGGGGGGAAATTTTTTGAGGATTGTTAAATGTTGAGAAGATGGGGAAAGCTCTGTTTCATGATGGGGCAAGGGGGAATAACACTTGTAGGAGTGAAAAGAGTCAGTTGTGTGTGGGGGGGAAGTTCGTGGGCGTATAAAATAAAAGGGGGAAAGGGAGCCGGGTTTGAGGGATAAAGATAAAATGTTAAAACAGGGGGGATAAATTTTTGGGAGTGGTTGGTGCTATTATTTAAAAAATGTATGGAAAAGGTAAAGACCTAGGGTTGGAGAGAGCATGCATGTTCTTTGTAAAAAGGCAAAGGGGAAAAAAGAGAGTGCAAAATTATAGGGGGATAATCTTTTGAGTTCCTGGAAAAGTGTTGGTAGATTTATTATTGAAAGAATTAAGAGTAAAAAAGGGGGAATGGGATTGCAGAGAACAAGGAGGTTTTTAGGAAAGGTAGGGGGGGGGGACCAGGTGTTTACAGTAAAACATAAAGTGAACTTATTTAGGAAAGGGGTAAAGATTTTTTTGTGGCATTTATGGATTTGGAAAAGGCATATGAAGGGTGGAAGGGGGGCAATGGAATGTTGCAGGTGAGGTATGGGAGGTAGGTTACTGAAACAAAAAAGATTTTTTTACGAGGATAGTGAGGCTCAATTTTAGAGTATATAGGAAAGAGGGAGATTTTCCCAGAAAAAAGTGGGCCCTTAGAAAAGGATGTTGATGTCACCTGGTTAACTTTTTTATAGAT